GCGGGGCTCGCCGCTGCTCCTCTGTGGAGGCCCCTCTGCCCTCCGGTGCTGCGCTGGGGCAAGGGGTACCGTGTGTCCCCCAGTCCCCTGCTCAGGGGCAGGCGGCTCCCTCCTGCCACGTGCCTGCTGGGCTGCCCACACCTGACCATCGGCAAACGGCGAGATTTCTGGGGCTCCAGCGACACTCAGACAGACTTTCCCACCATCGCAGTGCAGGGGCATCCCAGAGCCCAGGGGCTGACCAGGCCCAGCCCTGGCAGTGGTCCCAGTCAGACCAAAGCCCCAGCACCAGCTTTGCAAGCTCCATTCCCCTTCCTCTTTTGTGTCTCATGGATTCCAGCTTTACTCAGAACAAAGGGCCTGTTGCGCTCAGCAGAGCCTGGGAAGAGCTAACAAAGGACGACAGCTTTTCTTCCACACCAAGGCTGCTTTCGCAAGCAAAATCACTACCACTCTTCTCCTGCAGCAACACAGGACGGCACTGCCGGGCCAGACCTCTTTGGAGGCTTGAGCGCGGCATGGCTGTGGCAGGAGAGCGGGAGCTGCGGGATCGCGCCCTCTGATTCACACACAGGGTTTGGCAGAGCTGGGAAGGGAATCAAGGACTCAGAGCAGCTTCAAATGGTGTGCAGACCCAGCTTCTCGGACAGTCTGGGACAAGTTCCTGAGTGTTCTGGGGGGCCCGTACAAGTTGAATCACACTCAAGTCAAGAGCTTTACAGAAGGTATGGGGCTTTCTCATATTTTTCTGGGAAGAGGCATAGATTTCTGATGTGGCAGGGGCATTTCTGGCCAGATGAAAGGGTAGCACAAAGCAGATGACACAGGCAGAAGGATTCGCACTGCCTCTGTCGACACAGAGTTGGCAGAACGCCCTTCCCTGCACCATGCGCAGGGCTTGAGCTCCTTCCTGGCGGGCAGGATGGCCAGAAGAGCCCCAGAGCTCACCAGCTCTGACTCAATAGGGCTAAGGTGCCGAGGAAGCCACTGGTACAGGAGCGGGGAGCCCTTCCCAGCTGCCTTGGGGTAGAGGGGCTATCCCAGGGCCAGAAGGCAGAGCCTCTCTCCCTGGCCCTGCAGCTGCCTGCAGGCATGTTGGTGGGAGTCCATTACGGCAGCTCCATTAGAAGTAGTGGGCAGTGGAAATGAACGTGCTTGTCTCTCTCTCTCTTGATGATTTTTTGATGATGTTTTAAAGACTGAGCTCTGTGAAGAGTTGCTAAGCAGAGTTCGGTGCGAGCCGGCTCTGCTAATGGGTGTTAACCCCATGACCCAGCTCCAACGCTGCCCAGCAATGAGTGCTCCAAATGAGGGCAAAATTAGCAAGGGCACTACACAGCAGCCAGGATGGGCCAGGGCCGTGCGGCACCCAGACCTGGCTAGTAA